TTTACATATTTTTTCTGTCTCTTAAAACACATTATGTGCAAGTATGTTGGCTAGTATACTGCTATCTTTATTATAATTTTTTTGCTTAGTGCTTATATACTTTTTTTTAGAAGAATTTTTATTATACTTATTTTTCTTTTAATTATTTTGTTTTTTTTTTGTTTTGTTGTTGAACCTTGTCTTAATTCTTTATCATTTATTTTTATATTTTTTTGTTTTGCTTATTTTTATTTAGTTTTTTTTATTTGTACAAATAGTTTTTTTTCTGTCTGATTTATGTTTTTAATACTTATTTTTGGTTTTGTTTTTTTAAATATAGTAATGTTTTCCTTTTGTAATTTTTTTTTATTTGTATTTTTTTTTATTTTCTTTTTAGTTTTTTGACTTGCTTTATACATATTCTTTTGCTTTTTTTTTATTATTATTATTTTTTGTATTACTTTTTTTTTATTTATAATTTCTTTCAAGTTTAATTATTATTATATTTTTGTTTGTTCTATAAAGTTTAATTTCTTTTTTGACTGTTTTTTTTTTTGTTTTTTTAATTAATTTTCTTGTTATTCTTAATAATGCAACTTTTTTAATTTTTGTTTAGTGAATATAGCAATAATTTTATTTTTTCTATTTGATATTATATGTGTTTTATTTGACTGATTGAAAAATATATATATATATTTTTTTTAATATTAATGGTAAGGCCATGCTTCTATCTTTATTGAATATTTAATTGAGATTTTACATAAAGTACAATTTTGCTTTTAAAATATTATAGAAAGAATAGAAGTTTAGACTAATTTATCTGTGACCTAAACCAACTGGAGTGACCAAGGCTTACCTAGATTTGAGTGTTAGTGATTATGTATAGAGAATTAGGATTGAAAAATATTTTATTATATATTTTATTTATTACCTAGTATATTTTTTTTATAAAAATTGTTAATAGACTTTTTTTATACTTTTCTAATTCTATGTTGTACTTATATTTATGTGCTTTTAATTAGTTCTTCAAATTTCTTATTTATTTTAATTATTTATATATAAAATTTGTTATTTGTTATATAACTTGTTTATCAATTCTAATTTGATAGTTTGCATATATTTGTTATTGTTTTGTTATTATGTGTCTATTGTATAATATAAACAGATCTACATACAAAGTTTAATAACAAGTTTTTACTATTGTTTTTAGAAAACTTTTTTAATTTTTTTTCTTTTTTTTGTAACTATACTATTAGTTTTGTAACATATTTTTTTTATATTTTTTTATTATTTTTTATATTGTTGTTTTTTTTTGTTTAATGTTATTTAAAATGTTTTCTATTGTCCCCTCTTGGCAAAGTTTGGGTCAGGGGTAAATTAGCCCTAGCTTTAGTTTTTCATAGATAAAATATATACGATGTTATACTATGTAATATACCTATATATAAATTTCAATAAAGAAAACTGAGGCAAGACCTCGCTTTTAAAAAAAAAAAAAAAAAAGTTTTTTATTGCCAATTTTGCAGAAACTTTTTTTTTTTTTAGTTGTTTTTGTATTTAAATAATTGTTAAAGAGAGTTGTGAATATTCTAATTTTAATAATATTATATTATTATATAAATTTTAGTTAATATTATTTTTTAATTATAAATTTTTATATAAATAAAATTAAAATTTAATCTGATGTATTTAAATATAAAGTATTTGTTAACTTTTAAGTTTTATTTTTTATAACTAAAATTAAAGATACTAATAAAACTAATTTTTTGTTTATGTTTATTATTTTTTTTTATTATTTTAGTTTTTAATTATATCTAATTATTTTTCAATTAAATTTTAACTTTTTATATTTTGATTAAAACTTTTTGAATTATTAATCTTTTTTGTGCAAGGTTTGAAAACTTAACCATTAAGCTATAAAATTTCAACCTCTTATTACATTTAATAATTATGTTTTTTTTTATTTAATTTTTTAGATATAAAATAAAAATTAATACTGTAATAAAAATATTATTATTTAGCTTTATGTATTCTTGAAATTGCATGCAATTGCTATACAATTTGTATAAAACATGAATATTTGGCATTACATTATAAACTTGCCAAAAATATTAAGACATTGCTGTGCCATTATTATATGAGTTTGCCGGATAATAATAATATATATATACAGTATATATATACCCAGGTATATACTGTAATAACAATATATAATTTAAAACAAATAGTACCTATACGATAAACTTTCTACACGAATACCTAGAGTACTAAAGAGAAAGATGGTCACATGCCGAAATATACGATATTTTTTTTTGTATTTAAAACTATTCAAAAAAAGAGTAGCATATTTTTGAAATATGACGGTTATATGATATTAAAAAAGATAACATCTGACACGTCTCTTACATACAATTAAAAAGAATAAAACGGATTTAGAAAGAGTTGCATTTTGAGAGAATAAACATTTATATCATATTATGTAAAATAATTGTAAAGTTTAGTGGTCAGCAGCGCAACTAACCTAGAAAGTTATAATATTTTAAAAGGTTGAAATAATTAAATAATTTATATAAATTGTATTAAAGAATTGTACTAAAGAGTATATATAATATATAATTATATAATTATATAATTAAAGAAAAATTTTTTTTTAATTCAATTAATCTAGAAAAAAATTTAAATATATAATTGCAAAAAAAAATAAAGCTTGTTTTTTTTTTTAATGTTATCAAGATCAAGAAAACATTGAGAAACGTTACCCAAAGATATTTAAAAGATCAAAAACCTTGCATGAAATAAACACGAGATTGATTTTGATTCATGATTTATTTGGATAATGTAATTGGTTTATCACATCATTAAACCATCAAAGTTTTTAACGTTAAAGGGAGTTTGTAACAAACAATTAAACTAAATTTTGCCAAGAATCTCACGTTTTTTTAGCAAGTTTATCCTATCCACTGAGAAAAAGCTTCAATTAAGTATGAATTCTTTACAACTTGCATGATTACAGTATAAAAAAGTAAAAAGAAATTAATGTAATCATGCAAATTTTAGAAAATGTACCGACTATGCATAGTACATAGAAAACACGCAAGTAAGCTATTATTTTAAAAAGGTAAACTTTGCCTACGTAACAACAAAAAAATCATGATATACGGAGTGATTACAATAGTAGTGATTACAATAGTGACAGTATTGATATTGATTGATTGAGTACAATATTGGGTACAGTAATTGGGTTGGTACTTGCGTTGGTACTTGCGTAGTTGAATGAAGACGGCAACAGTAAAGTTTATGGAAAATGCTGATACAATCAAATAAAGAAGGATTTAGGTACACAAATTAGTTCGTATTTACGTATTTCAGTATTTTGATAATATAATAGAGAATAAACAGACATCTATATATTATATATAAAGATTGGTTAATATAAAATATAAATTGGGTAGACAATGTATCAATGAAGATGCAAATATTGTAACACAAAATGTTTTTGTACATGACAAGTATTTTTAAAGTTTAGATAAACTTTTTATGATGACGCATATAAAAATCACGAGAAGGATAAATCTTTGCTAATCGGAATAACTTATTTGTCACCTGATTTGTCATTTATCTTACATAAGCCAACTAAAATTTGAAAATTCGATGATCCTATTCGTCATATGTTACTTCAATGATATTTTATCATTTGTTGATTCGTTCTGTACCTTCAACTAATTTTTCACGAGACCAGTAACTTTAAGTTTTTTCACGCATTTTTTTTTTTAAAGTCGATTTTAACTTATGTATCATTAAAAAAATCATCCGTTTATAAACAAATGATATCATTTAATTAAGCTGTATTTTTTTACAGTAATTCTCGGAATACCTATGAATTCTTTGGTTTATATGGTTTATATGTATGTATGCATGTATGCATGTATGCACGTATGCATGTACGGTTTCGCCGACAATATGCGCATATCAAAAATATAAAGATATACGTAGCAAGAACTACCATATACATACATATACATATATACATATATGTGTATATATATCTACATATATCTACATATATATATATACTGTAAGTGTATATATCGACATATATAGTATATACGTTATGTTTCATCATACATTATCAGTTATCCGTTACGTACGTACGTACGTATAAGTTTTATGTTTGAAATGTACTACGTACGTTTAATAACAGTCAAAACAATATATATACGTATATATATACGTATATATATATATATATATATATATATAGGAGGTATGTAATTTTGATACATAGTAATAGTAAATCAATACTATTTTAACATTCAAAAGGCGGAGAACTCATTAACAATACAGATAGAAATGATCAAAGATGGCACGGATGCATGCGAAATAAATTAGTTTGCTTTTGAAAAAAAAAATAAGTTTTTTTTTATATCGATTTTGTTTTTAAACAGAAAGATTATTAATTTTCATCAATTTGTACCTTAATAAGGATAATGAAGTTTTTATTTGAAGAAAACAAAAATTACGTATTTGTGTATGCTATTAATATGTTATGTATTAGTATGTTATTAGTATGTTATGTATTAGTTAGTACGTTATTAGTATGTTATGTATTAGTACGTACGTTATTAGTATGTTGTTAGTATATTATTAGTGTTGTTAGTATGTTATTAGTGTGTTGTTAATATGTTATTAGTGTGTTATTAGTGTGTTATTAGTACGTTGATAGTATGTTATTAGTGTGTTATTAGTGTGTTATTAGTGTGTTTTCAAGGGCTTTGCGTTTAATCAATGACCTATGTAAGGGATAAAAACAACCACTAATGTTGAATTCAGTAGTAACGAAACCCTTCTGGGCACATAAACAATGAAAATGAATAATGAGATGACTAGACGATTGGTTAAAATAATTTGCATTATATACGAGTTATACGAGTCGAGTTAATATCAGATCAAATTACCAAAAGACAAATTATGATTAAAAGAATTATAAAAGTAAAATTACTAAAGATAAATTATTTAGAAAGATGAATTATCAAATAGATCTGAAAAATAAACATTCGCGTAGCCAAGATTTTATTAAAAGACAAGTTTTTAAACAAGTAATAACAAGTAATATCCTTTTGAATTAAAGTTTATGACCAAGTTTGGACGAACAGGGCGAATGGTAATATGCCAACTAAAAAAAATGATTGACAAGAAACGAGTTGTTGAACCAGTCAGACCTAAGTAACATCCAATGAAAGAAAGGTAATAAAGAAAATTCTATGCTTACTAATTACAGATTAGAACCTAAAAGGTAAAATCTACATATATAATCCGGTTAATATAAATTTTGATCACGATCATGTACTAAATAAAAAAGTTGTACAGAAAAAAAACGGCCTTTTTTTTTTTTTAAAACGAACGCGTTACCCCATTTAAAATCAAGAGATCCCCTTATTAATTACTATTACTACTAATCACACAAAGCGAAAGAAATTTTTCGAGATTATTTTATTAGTTTACTTAACTGATATGTACATAAATGCTTTTTACCAATGTTTACACTTTTAAAAATAATGCATCTATGCGATTTTTAAAAAAAGTTAAAACGAATGACTATTTGAATGACTTAATAAATTGAATGATTGGAGATGGAAATTTTTTTTTTACATAGAAAATTCTTTAATAAATAAATATAAATATATATATATTTATGTCTTTTAATGCATATGCGCTTTACTATATACTATACCATGTACATGGATAAAAAGCGCATTAGATGCTTTTAATTAATTTTAGTGCGTTTTTTTTTTGTAATATTTAACCATTAGAGGAAAATATGAATAAATGGAGTTACAGTTTTAATAGTATCATTATAATTATAAATGATAAATGGAAGGGTTAAAAGGGGTGGGATGATTGAAGATGATTGAAAATGATTGAGGATGATTGAGGATGATTGAGTACGTAAAAAAAATTTCCAAAGTACGTATGTACTTATGTATAAAATAAATAAATACAAAGTAAAAATTTTTACGTATTGTGCAATATAATCGAACAAGTTAAGAAAAAATTACACAAAATACAAATGTATATATCTAAATGCAGGAGAGTGCATAATTTGTGGAGTCAAACTTAATAATTATAACGATAGTGATTTACTAAATTTATGCTCATAGTAAAAGTCAAGTCTTCCCTTGATTGTTTCAAAATTTGTCAAATTCATTCTTTTCTTCTAATAATAGTAATTGGAATCTTAAAACATGAACTTCCCCCATGTAATCATGGTAATCATGATAATCATCATGTAATCATATTAAATAAGTCTCATAAATTTATCGTAATGATTTGATTTAAGCCTCAACTGGGCTTCCATAGTTCACTCAGTTAACACAATAGTTCTCAAATTTTACCAATTTTACCAAATTTTACCAAAATTTACCGTATTTCTAGTTATCGACATAGCCCGACCATAAATGATGATCTGCGGTTAACCGGACTGATTCCTATTATCAACCAATTAAATTACTGGATAAGCCGACAATGAAGAATTTCATGTCTCGGATCGCAGCCATTGTTGAGGATAAATTTTTGGTTATATCAAGTTCGGATGCGGATAATATCACCGGCGTCTGTGGCTTTTTTTTTAAAAAAAAAAATTAAATCCGATGAGCAATTTATGTTTCGATTATCTTGAGTCTTGGTCGTAAATGGTATAATTATTCTAAATTATTTAGTATCATTCATTCTAGTATCATTCTAATATCTATCATTCAAATTATTTTTGATAATTCAAATTATTCTAACGATATCGATATTCTAACGCTAATCATTCATAATTCATAATTCAACATCAATAATCATTCAACAATATTATAAGATTTAATTATTCTTGATAATTTTTAATTGAGATAAATAAAAAGATGAATGAAAGATGAATGAAAAAGATGAATAAGTGATGAATGAAAGATGTATGAAAGATGAATGAAAAATGAATGATGGGCTTAAATATAATCATTGTCGTATTTTAAAAGTATAAATTATAGAATTTTGGAATTATCGAATGTGTACCAATTTAGAAAAAAAAAGAAATTTTTTGGTAGAGATTTTTTGACGGGCTATGTCGATAATTTATGGTGTGATAAGAGAGAGAACGGAAACAATGAATTGTAGGAAATTTAGGAGTCGTTGAGGCTTATCTGATAAATAAAAGTTAAAAATATTTTCTTGTAGACAAATCATTTCCGCGTACGATGTAACGAGAATTGATGGATGTAACGAGAATTTTAGTAGAATTTATTGTCAAATACGTGTTATTTTTAAAAAAGATTGTGTATACTAATTTACTTTTACATACATTGCGCAAAATTGCGTACTCTTCAAATTTCTTGATAATTTACCGAAGCCTCGAACAAAAAAAAAAACCATTAGGGTTGAGAGGCGTCCTGGCTAACACTAACATTAACGTTTAAAATTTAATACAATCAAATACAATCAAATACAATCAAACACAATTAAATACAATCAAATACAATCAAATTAAATACAATTAAATACAATTAAATACAATCAAATACGATTAAATAAATTAAATAATGATAATAGAATTAAATAATATTAAAATAATAATTTGGATAACAAGCCTTCTCACTGCCTCATAATCAAAAAAACACGTCTCTCTACATGATGAATTTGATTATTAAACATTAGTACCACGTCTTTCTAGATGATAATAATTTGTGTAAGCCTTTCTTCTTGCTCACGTTTAAAGAATTCGCGTGGCTTTTTAAATGACTTTTTTAAATGACTTTTAAATGAAAAAAAAAATAATAATGGTAAATGATAAATTAATGATGATAATAAAATGACGCGACTTTATGAACATAAGCCCCACTTAAACGCGAATAAAAGGCGAAAAGCCTCTTTACGCCTCTTTTATGCTAATAACCAATAATATTTAACATCCGAGTCAGTGAAAATTAAAATTACGATCTATTGATAGAATTTCTGAACTTACGCAAGCCATTAAAAAGCCTCCCATAGCCTCGCTCGCCAATCCATAATGCTTAACTCAATTTTATAACGTTAATTAGAAATTTTAATTGATATATTATTTACAAAAATAAGAAGGTTTGAATAAATTGTATTACTTTACTACTAGTTACCTTATGTTACCTTACTAGTTACCTTATGTTACCTTACTAGTTAACTTACGTTACCTTACTAGTTAACTTACTAGTTAAAGTTCAAGAATTTATTGTGTATCAACAAAACAACTTTAAAAAATCATGATAAAACCATGATCAAACATGTGATAAAACTTGTTAGATTATAATTTATCTATAAAACTTGTAAAATTATAAAAAATTTTTTACTTATTATAATATATATAATGCTCGCTAGATATATGCTAATGATCGAAAAAGATCTGACCAAAGAAAAAGAAAAACCAGCTGTTTTTCGGTATATTTCGGTATATTTCAGTATATTACGATAATTCGATCAATTTAAACTATTTAAATGATTTAAACTACGTAATGTATTTAAATTACTTTAATTACTTTTTATAATCTATATATACTTTTTTAAATTAATGTCATACCCATTAAAACCTGTAATCGTAGATGAAATGTATATGATTTTTTTTTTTTTTTAATAGTGAATTTTTTTTTTTTTGTGACTTTATAAATACTTGATTTTAAAGTGATACAAAATAGAGAAATTATAACTAAAGAAGGGAGAAGATCGGGTCGGATTAAAGAAATCAATCATTTGGTTAGATTAAAAAAGAAAAAGGATTACGAAAGTAATTATTTTCAAAGATCAACATTCATTACCTTTTAATCTTTCCTTCACACCAAATTTTTTTTTCTTATCTTTCCATTTACACACAACATGTTAATATCTAAAAATGAAAATTCTCCGGTTTGCTAATCTTGGTTTATAAAACATTTTACATAGAAGTAAATAATTTTCCCCTGCCTTTTTTTTTTTTTTTTTTATTTTCCAATCTTGGAAAATTCAAGTTTTATAAAAGCATTACTTTTTAAAATGACTATGATCTATGAGAACTATCCAAACCATCCAAATTATCTCGATCTTTTTTTTTTCTAACATTTCTAACATTTCTAACACGACTAACATGTCTAACATATTCAACATATGCTACGTAACATGTACACATAACATTTCGATTAGAAAAAGTTTGACAAACTCCTTTTTTTTACATTAACGACGTACAAGGTTTATTTAATATAATTATAGGTCACTGTATAGCAATAGGGGTTCATTTAATATAATTAGAGGTCACTATAGGTCAGTCATTATAGCCATTATAGTCATTACAGTCATTATCTGTTATAATTATAAATCATTATAGGTAACTAATGATACAAAATAGATAAACTAAATTACTAAAACTAATAAACTAGATTACTAGAATTAATAAATTAAATAAATAAACTAAATTACTAGAAATAATAAATAAATTACTAGAAATAATAAACAAATTACTAGAAATAATAAATAAATTACTAGAATTAGTTACAACGAAACACTAAATGCATTAAATACAACAAATAGTTTAAATATTCAGTAATAAAACTAGGTAATATATAAGTTATATCAAAAATGAATCCTTTTGATCCTTTTCTTTTAATAAACATTTACGTTCAGCAAGAGGTTCCGCAAGAGGTTTCGCAAGAGGGATTAGATAATAATGGTAATGATAAATGAGTATAACATAACGAAAAGGGATAAATAACACAAATGGATAGATGGTAAGGAGACAAACCAGATACACATATATATATATAGATAAAATAGATAACAGTAAATTATTTCGCGGTATTAGCCGGGATCATGAGAAGACCCTAAAATGGTACAACATTGACATGTCACGCAATTCTGTAACAGTAGTAAAAAGGATTCAAGCACGTGAAATTTTTTAAAAAAATTGAAATTGTTTAGCTGTATTCGTACATCAAGGAAAAGTATGAGAAGGTATAAAAAAATTTCTCACAAGTTTAATAGGGAAAAGAGACTTTTTTTTCTTGTAAACTCAAAAAAAAAAAAACTTATAAAATGCATAACTCTTATTTTTATCATTAATCGTCATTTACCTTAAATTATTTGCACTCAACTATCATCATTTATTATCGCTTACTATTTCTGTATTATGATCAAAACAAATCTTACTGTGAGACATTAAACCCGATGCTAATTTTGAAAATAATATTTGTAATAATATATTGTAATGGTAATGATATATTGTAATGATATATTGTAAGAAATCATAATGTTTAGAATAATACGAAAAAAATCTTTAAAAATTTTCTTATACATATATTGTCAAATCATGGCTGCGAATCGTCGAATTCGAATCAAGTCATGACTGCGAATCATGGTGCGAATCATGATGAGAATCATGGTGTGAATCATGGTGCGAATCATGGCTGAGTTAGTAATAGATCAAAAAAAAAAAAATTCTCATACATACTTATATACTTACGAACGTACGTACGTATGTATGTATCTGGTATGTCAGTATGTCAGTACGTACGTCAATACATATTAATTCAATACATATCAATATTATTAATTCAACAATACATATCATACTAATACATATCATACTAATACGTACATATTAGTATGTACCAGATAAATTTATCAGATATACGTATCTAGGGCGGTTTTATCGTTATCGTTATCGTTATGGCTTATTCGCCTCATTTGAACTCGAGACTTTTTTACTTTTGAATAAAAATGTAGATAAAGTGTGTATGAGAACGATTATAATACAGTAATACTGATACTGATACTGTAATAATGTATTAAATTTTTTTTGTCAAACAATAGAGAATTAACATTTGATCACAATTTTAATCGTCATTTGAAGAAGCTTAACATTAATTACAATTTTTTTTATCATCCTATCATAATCCATAAATACTATGCGTGAATGTGAAAAAATGTAAACACGAATTTAAATATTGCGTTTTGCGGCTTGTACTGCATTAGTAATTGTATTAATGATTGTATTAGTGATTGTGGCGGTGCGTTATCAAACGAATCTAGGCTTGTATGAATCTAGGCTTGTATACCAATACGTACAGCACATACGTAAATGCTTTAATATCGTTATATATCTGATACGTATATCGATATGTTATATATCAATTATGTAAATGCTAGATGAATAGTTGAGTTTGGGTTATTTTTTTTCTTTACTCCGACTTTCTTCCATACCTAATCAGTATTTAACTGTATATTTAGCTGTATCCAGTAATATTATTTAGTAGTATTATTTAAAAGTATTATTTAGTAATATTGGTTTAAATGTTCGTGTTTAATTTACCTATATTTGGATAAATTAAAGAGAAAAAAAAAAACAAGAAACATGCAAATATATACTATATATTTATATACATAACGATAATAGTCGTTATTTGACTTTTTTTATTGACTTTATTTGATTTAACGCTAAATGGTATTCAACTTGTATTAATCATCATACGCTTAGGTTGGCGCTCAAGTTGGCGCTCAAGTTGACGCTCAAGTTGACGCTAAAGTTGGTTATTAAAGATTTGAATATAGTTGATCTTTTTTAGTCTTGTAAATAAAACCTTTTTCGATTATTTTTTTTGTCTTGACTACTTGGATCTATTTAATCTATCTACCTGAATCTATGAATCTAACTACCTGAATATTTCTACTTCTACTTGTCGAATATTTCTACTTCTACTTGTCGAATGTTTCTACTTGTTGAGATCTTTCTAAATTGCGATTGTTGAATATTTCATACAACAAAAAATAAATATAACAAAAGTAAAAATAAATAATAACAATATTAGTAAATATCCCGTGAGTTGTCAAGTCTGTCAAGTCTAAGCGACGAACTTAAAATTCGCGTCAATTTTTTGCTGAGTGACTTGTTCATGATTCAAAATGGGGTAAATAGTATGAAAAAAAAAAGTTAATTTGCTTGTTTATAATCAATTGTATAATCAATTGTATCCTTTGAGGAAAATTTTTCAAGTTTTATTACTTTTTTGTCTTTGCTTAAATTTCAAAAGAATTTTCCAAAGAAATTATCTATATAACCTTGTTCCTTGTGAAAACGAGAATATTTTCTTTAGTGAAACATTTTGTTCATAATCTCATGACTTTAAAATTGATAGTGCGTAGTCACTGCGAAATTTAAAAAAAAAATCTAGAGGCTCAATCTGTTATGCCATTGTGTCGTTTTGAATGATTGTTAGTTCAAAATTGTTTCTGACTATAGTATTTCATACTATTTCATCAGGTTACTCTATCTATATCTATATTTATTACGCGGTATCATCTTTTATCTTTGTGAAAAAAAAAAATAATAATAATAATTAATAATATCATTATCATTTTATTAATTAATAAAAAAAGAATTTTTTTCAAGAATTTCAAAAAATTCTCGAGAAAATCAAAGTGTGGCCCGGATTTCAATCAAAGTACACATAAGTAAAATTGTACTTTTTTTTTGGGTGGCCCGAATTATTTATGGATAAATTAAAAAATTCAAGCCGTACGGGATGAAACTGTAAACGCCACAAGTCTCTCAATATTTATATATTAATCTTGTTTACTTACTATTTCATATAATACTTATGTACTCATAATACTACGTACTATATTCTACTCATAATCACCGACAATTTTATACTAAATAAATCCTGTATTGATGTAAACTGCGCATCTAATTTACGCAAAATGTCATTATCTGCTCTCAAATAATATTTTTGATGTTGTTCGTTGCAAATCTGGTTGTTTTTGTAATTCGTATTTTTTATACGCTGTGTTTAAAATATTGAAGATTACATTATACATTATATTATTATTATAATACATTATTATTATAATTATAATATATATATGTATATAATATAATTTATAATGTAAATATAATGTATATTTTTTTTATCATTTATTTATTTATTACTCATTTAAAGTTTTTTTTTTTTATATATTACTCCGTACATCTTACACATTTTACACATCTTTATACATCTTTATACATCTACATATCCTACACATCCAAAAGAGCGAATATATAATAATATATATATATATAAAGCTTTTTTTTATCGATATACTTTATTTTTTTTACATGTTTATATAAATAGGGAGTGTCCGCTTTAATACTTTATACTTTTATTGTTTACTTTCAAAAAAAAATTTTTCTTAAATTTTTTTTTTTTTTCTCAGGTGGAACAAATTATTGGATTATTTGGATTATTGGGATTACTCTTGGGTTTACTTTTGGGTTCTTATTACAATTCCTACAATTATTACAATTTTTACAATTCTTACAATTTTTACAATTCTTACAATTCTTACAATTCTTACAATTCTTACAATTCTTACGACGATTCTTTCCATCCTTTCACATAACACAAAGATCATTCATACCCTTTCACTTTTATTCACTTTTTTTTCATTTTCTTCAATTTATTTCTCACATTTAATTTTTCACATCAAATTTAATTTTTCTATCTTCAAACTCACATTTATTTTTTTTTTTCGTAACGATTAATTTGATTGTACAGATTTTATAATGGCACCATTTTTGCCAGCTGATGTTTTATGTCAAATATTTCAAAATTTAACAGATCAAAAATCTTTATATTCTTGTCTATTAGTGAATCGTTTATGGTGTGCGACTTCGGTAGAATACCTTTGGTCAAAACCTTTTCGTTTCATATACACATGCAATTTCATATCATGTAATTGTCATAAAGAATCAAGAATCACTCGAAGTTCTAAATTAATTGAAATTTATCTAAGTTGTTTAACTGAAAAAGAAAAGATATTTTTAACGGAAAATGGTATTAAATTACCATTTGAATCTCCTTTATTTGATTACGCGGGTTTCATTCGTTATTTGGATTTGGATGAATTTTATACCGCTATAAGAGATTGGATGGAATCAAATATAATTTTAATGGCTGGTCTTATGGATTATGAATCAAAACAAATCTTGGATTTTGGAAATTCTCAAAAAAAACAAAAAAAATTCAAATTTTCAAAAGTTGTTCGTTATTTAAAATCTTTTGGTAGTAATAGTAATAATAGTAGAAGAAAAATTGATGATAAAAGTGATTCTGATAGTACTAGTATTGATACTACTATAACTACCTCTTCTTCTATATTATCATCTTCTATATTATCAACTTCTATATTATCAACTCCTGTTACTCCTACTTCCCCTACTGCTCCTTCTTCAACTACTCCTTCTTCAATCTCTTTATCTTTACATCCTCGTGAACGTATAGTTACCGAAGTTTTATGTCGATTATTAATGAGAAGAAGTTCTACTATTAAACAATTATCTATCGATCGAACTTATTCAACACGTGACCACGATGAATTCAGATGCGCTTCTTTACCTCCTTTAATGGATCGTTTTCAAAACACTCGACCAGTTCCTGATCAATATGTGTTACTACCTGCTTACCCTGGTGCTATTTCTTGCTTATCTTCTTTAAGTGAATTAATATGTACTACTCGTCAATCAAAAAGAAAATTATTTGATTTATTAAGTGAAATATCAACAAGAATTAATAAAATATCAGTAATGATGGATTATTCTTCAAGTAATTGGCACGGTACAAGGTCGAGAAAAGATGATTCTGATCTTGAAGATGAAGCTAAAAGTTTGGCTACTCTAATTCGTGTTCAACAATCTTTACAACATTTTGAAATTTATTGTTGTGAAAATGGATCAAATATAATTATGATGGCTTTAAAATCTCAATCAAATAATTTAAAATCATTATGTTTTAATGATGTTAGATTTTGGGGTTGGGATCCATTGGATTTTATCTCGGAATGTCAATCATTAAACAAATTAATTTTTAAATCTTGTACTGGTTTAACAAATGAATTATTTGAATCTTTAATAGATTCTGAATTCCCTAAACTTTCAACAATCGAAATGGAAAATACTTCAGCACCTGATCATATTCTTGTATCTTTAATCAAACTTGGAAATAACAAAATTCTTAATTTAAATCTTGGACAATATAAGACTACATTAAACAAACCATCAAATATAATTCAAACGGTGGCAAATCATTGTCCAAATCTTATCACTTTCAAGTCTTTTATCGAATCAGAAGAAATTCCTCAATTGGTTTCTTTATTTACTCTTTGTACAAATCTTCAATCAGTAACGATTAATGGTCCTCGTTCTCCTGAAATTGATGTTAATCATTTATTTCTTGAACTTTCATCACAAGAACTTCCAAATTTACGAGATTTAGCTATATTAGGGTCTTGGTCTTTTCGATCTTATTCATTGGATCAATTTTTATCCGGTTCAAAACCTCCTTTGAAATCTTTGAAAATACAGAATTCAAAATGTTTTACTGATTCCCATCTTGAAGTTATATTAAGAAATTTATGTTCGGATATTTCTTCAAATTCGGGTACTTTAAAAGAATTAAGATTACACGTCACTTCTCATTTAAATGAAGAATTGGTTGATAAAGCTAAAGAATTTGTTAAAGAAGACGGTTTTGTTCAAGTTGATTATTGGGAATCTGTTATTAGGGTAAGAATTAGTAGACTATCTACTAATAAATTTTATAAAAAACTTGGTTGGCATAATAGTAATAGTAGTAGTAACAGTAAATATCGAATATCATGTGATACATAGTGATATATTTATATATATATGTGAAATATATATTTATTAAAAAAACAAAATTTTTTTTTTTTTTGGTATATATAAACATGATATTTTCGTTATACAAGTATATATTATAAATTGATATAAATTAATGGTTTTACTTACGTAGTGTTAGTTAGTTCTATATATAATATAATAATTCCCAGTATCAGTAATATAGTAATTTCATTCAATTAATCTTTTTTCCTTTTTTTTTTTTTTTTAATTCTTGTACGTAGGAAATTTCCGTTTCATCACGAAAAATGAGAAAAATCCCACAACTTTTTTTTAATAATATTATTAATATTTGAGCGGGGAATGATTTTAATCATTACTTTGGGATATATTTTTTTTTATTGGGTGGGTTCCTTAATAATCAACATTATCAAAATTATTAAAAGCGATGGACAATTATTGAAAAAAATTATTTTTTATTTTTATTATTTGATATTTTACTTATTAATTAATTAATGATTATAATTATTAATCAATTAGCTATTACCTGTTACGTATCCTATTTACTATTACATTACTACATAGTTTTTCTAATTATATATTTACTTACCGCTTGAATAACATTTAATTTGTAAGAAAAAAAAAAAAAATCGTATTTTCTAATATAAAAAAAAAAAACATTTTTTGGGGAAAATTTTTCGAGGGATGTATCACATGAAAATTATAGTAATATACTGTTACCTTATCACTATTAATATTGATGCTGTCTAATAGTTCATAATTTATCGTTAACTGATTTTTTCAATTTATTTAGCGTTCTCATGTGCGTTGTGTATGCCATTGTCCTTTCTAACAAAAAATTTTACATATTCACGTTCAACTCTCAATTAAAAATATGAAATTTTGTACGTAAAAAAAAAAAAAAAACTTTTCATATTCGGATGTAATAAAAAGTCATAATCCTTTGATCTTGACAATTGTAAATAGTAAACGATAGAATTTGGTTTCCAGATCTGGATGATTGGTGTGCGAAACTTACGTATGCGTATCATTTATTTAATATTATCGTTATGATTATGATATAAAAGGGACCAGATCAATAAGATCCAAAAAAAACTATTATTGATATTTACATTTCTATACCAATTATATCAAGTAAAAAAGATCTTTATAAGTATGATTTTTTTATTAAGTTGAATTATAAGGATAGATGAGTTGCGAAAAGGGAGTTGATAAAGAAACTACTATAGAAATAACTATAGACATAGTTACAAAATAGTAACAGATGCGTATTAATCTTTAACAAAAAAAAAAAAAAAAACAATAATAAACTTTATTTTTTATATTATATATTGATATACATTTTTTATATTATTTTTTATATTATTTTTATATTATTTTTTATATTTTTTACATTATACCTATTTTAGCTTATCCTATCCATTCGTAACGTCTTTCAATTTAGATCATAAAGTATTTTGGACAGGTACTATGAATATTTACAAAACGTATGATCCGCATATTGGTAAATCCTGCAATTTTTGCGCCGTTTGATTCATTCAAATTGTCCAAAATAATGTGAAAGCTATTTTATTCTAGATTAAAAAAATACCCTCATCGGAATTATTTCCAACAATATTTTAAGAATAATATATTTTATACCGTATATACATATCAGATATATATATAGTACGTACGTACAACGTACTTATTTATAAATTGTATATATCATCAGATAAATATATCTGATCTAATATATATACGTACATATTAATACGTATAAGTATTGTAGATACAATGTGTATATTTTACCTTAGCACTTAGATAATCCATTTAGTAATCGAAAATTCTTACGTACGTACTGTACGTAGTTGTTTTGTTCATTGTTTCTATAATGTGAAATTTGTAACTACATTATACTTTTTTTAAAAAAAAATTGTTTAAATGATTTACTAGGGATTACTGTTAAGTTTTATCTATGTAATACAGTATTACCTAGGTTAAATATGTAAACCAATTAGTTTTGCATCGGTGTAATAAAAAAAAAAAGGTTTAATTACATATTTAATACGTACGTAAATTTTAAAAATACTTATCAGTTATATATATATATATGTATATGTATATATTTTTTAAATACGTATATAAATATTAAAATTAGTATATATAAAAATAAATTGTTTTATGTCTATATGTTTTAATACTTCAAAATTATTTTATTTATTATAAAATTATTATATAGCGTTATTGTATTTTAAATAATTTTAAATATATAAAAGTAAAAAATAAAATAAGTAGTTATATATATTGCAGGAAGTCTATACTCAGTGATTACACAAAGTGTTTCAATTGTTAAAATAGGTATAATTTTTTATGTAAAAAGTTTTAAAAAAATCCAATTAATAACTTTATAAAGTTATATTAGCTCTACATATATGTTAAATATTTTTTTAAAATTTCATTACTATAAGAAGTTGATGTTTTTTTTTCTCTTAAGCAGTCATGCTAGTACTTTATTAAGATTTTGAAATTACATTTGCAATTATATAAATATCTCTAATAACTAAGTCTAGCATCATTCAGTCACTCTAACAGTACTTATGTGCGATCTGTCACATTACTTTAAGCAAAAGTAAGTTGCTTGTTTAATTACTTAAAGTTTATAATAAAAGAGTTTTCTCTCTTTTATAACAAAACTCAATATTGTCTTTCTAGTTTCTTTCTTAATTTATTTCTTTTTTTTTTACTTTCTCTTTTCTTTTTTCTATATTTTACTAATTTGTTTTTTTTTTATTTGATTTTTTTCTTTTTTTTCTGTTTTTCTTTTTATTTTACTCATTATTTTTATCTTTTTTTTCTATTTACTAACTTTTTTATATTATGTTTTCATATCTATTTATAAAATATATCTTAAACTGTTCTTGTTATTACTTTTATAAATTGCTGACTTGATTTTATATTTAAAAGTTGTATTAACTTATTTTGTTTTTTTTTAATTATTAAAATAATAACTTGCTTATATTTTTATTAAGTAATTTATAAAATAGTAACATATATGCAATATATACATTTCTACTATTTGTACTAGTACAAATAAAAAGAAAATTACATACAAGAATAAAAGCTCAGACAATTAAATAAATCTAATTTATTTGCAATTTAAATCTACTAAAATAGTCTAAAACTTATCTAAATAATATTATTTATAATTAAAATAAAGTTAGAAGTTGTATAATACTTGACCTACAAAGTAGTCCAAATACTAATTTTTTTAAAAACCTATTTAACAAATAAACAAATTCCAGTATATGAATAGAGTTGATTAGGTTGATCATAAAGACAAGAATATGTAAAATTATGTCAAATATGTATATTGTTTCTATTATAAAAGAATGAAGTTTTTTTTTTTTTTTTAATTCTTTGGCAGCCTTGTCAAAATCTTTTATTAAGAGAATTGCATATGTAATTATACAAATATTAATTTAATTTTTAGGTTTGATATTCCCTAGCTAATGTGTTAGTGCCTAGAGGCAACTTGTCACATTAGAGTAAATTTATACTCACTACTAGAAAGCTATTTAGACTAGCCTTTGAGACTGTTTCAGTAAGGCCTCTTATTATTACTAATTAATTTTCTAACTGTATTTCTCCATATATCTTCTATGTTTTCATTTTTTGTTTCTTTTTTTTTTTTATATCTTTTATTTTTTTTAAGTTTTGTCTCTTGATCTTGATAAAACTTTGTATGATATTTTGCTTTGTTATTTAGCTACTTTATTTTTTTTTTCTTGTACTAATTCCTTGATTTTTTTCCTATTCAGTTATTTTATTGCATCTTTTTTTCTAAATTTTTTCATAAAACTTATTCCATATAATATATACTATACTTATTAAGAAATTTCTAATTTCTTGTACTGAGATCAGAATATTTTGTATTCTCTTCACTAACTTCTTTTGAAAAAGACCTTTAATAAGCTTTTTTCTTACTTCTGCATTTTTTTTTCTGTTTGGTCTCAGATTGTTTCTTTAAACTGTACTTAAATAAAACCTTTTTTTTTTTTCTGGAAATATATTTTATACAACTACTATTGCTAATGTTTCTGTTTTTATTCAATAATTTTTATAAAAAAAGCATGTTGTTAAATGGTTCTGATCTTTTTTTTTTCCTTTTTACAAACTATACAGTTTGCATCTGTATACAGGTCTGATTATCTTATCACTAATTCCTTAAATATGATCATTTTTCTTGTATGTATTTAAAAAGGATACTTAGTCTTTTATTTTTTGTAGTTGAGATGCATTTTGTTCCATTCTGATTCTTGATTTTTTTTTATAATAGTATCTAGCAATGCTTACTTTTTTCTTTTTCTGGTTTTAGTTTTTTAACTGCTGATGTACAGCTCCAATCTGCATTGTTTTTGATATTAAGAACTTCTTTAACAAAGTCTTGTATTGGGTTTTTTACTACTTTGTTTTTTCAAAAAAATGTTACATTAGATCTTGAGATAGGTTCTTCTATAATTTTATTCTTATCTTGTATATTTGCTTCTCTTTTTGCTACACTATCTGTCCTGCTATTCTACCTATTGTTACTGTCTCTTTATCTTTACTAATTCTAAATTTAATTCCTTTGCTCATATTGTATCTTTTATATTTACAATTAAGTTATAATTTTTTCTTTTTCTTCTTTTTTTTATCATTATATGTTGTATATTATTATATATACTTGGTATAATTGCTGTATTATCTGTATATATTTTAATTTTGCTTTTGCTTAGTACTATAATAACTATATATCAGATAGTTAGCAGCTCTGCTTTTATTGAAGAAGACCATTCTTTAGTCCTAATGGCATCTTTGTCTATTATATACTCTTTTTTATTATTTACTTATATCCAACTAGCTTCTATATAGTCTGGATCTTGATTTTTCTTTTTTGCTTTTACTAATAATCCAGTAATATGTCTTATACTATTAATTCATATTAAAAATATTACTAAATTTTAAATCTGTATTTTTTTTAAAAATTATTAAGATACTTCAATTGTCTAATAAATTGCTAGGATTTAATATGATTTGCAATTATACAACTTACAAATCTTTGCTATTCTAAATTTATTAAATCAATTTCTAATTAATTACTAAATTTGGTAAATTAACTTTTAATTAATGTTTAATTTTGTTTTATTATTGTTTGTTAAAAAATTATAGTCCTTTTGGTACTTTTTTTTTTTTTTTTTTATAAACTTCAACAATATCAACAACAATAATAACAACAACTCTAATAACAATAATAATAATAAAATATCTTGCTATAGTCTCTTAGAAAATGTTTGTTATACTTGCTGAAATAGCAATAATGCTTTATATAAGACCTTAGGAATGGTCCAAGTTAAGAACAGATGGTGAATATTATCTTTAAAATTTTTCTTATTTTCTCTTTTTTTTTTTTTTTGTTACTTAACAAGACTTGTTTATAATTTGCTTTAGATGATTGCTTTACAAAGGAGAAGAATACAAATTTTAGAGATGGAGTTGAAAGAGTTAAGAGTAAATATAGTTGCAAGAGTGCAGAATGTTAGATGTTAAAGTAGTGATATACTTAGTTGTTAGAAGAAAAAAATCAGTTAAGAGCAAGATTGGCAAATAATAAGAAAAGTTGAGAAGATTAAAGGCAGAAAAAAGAAGAAGAAAGAAAAATAATAATAATAGAAATAGAATGTCAGATGTTGGTTTTTAATTTTATTATATAAATATTATTTTTTTTATTTTTTTTTGTTTTTTTTTTATTTATTTTTTTTATTATTATTTGTTTTATCTTTTTTAATTTTTATTTTGTCTATTTTTTTTCTTTTTATAATAAAATATAAATATTAATATATGTACAGTTACACCTTGATATAGTCACCTGCCCAGGATACAGAAATTGAGTGACTATAAAAAGGGGTGACTATATACAATTACTTTTATAAAGTCACTAAATATATAATTAAATATTTGTGATGACTATATAAAATCATTATATAATTTTTTAAAAAGGGTTTTATAATTTGATGCACCTGCATCGCGGTGCACCCTTAGTCACGTGACACAAATTGCATAACCGTAATGATATTAATAATTCATTATATAAATTGAAATTTATTTTTTAATTAAATAAAAAAAAACACTACATATTCGAAATCGTTGCACACAACAAAAATTTTAAATCTCGTCGAGTAACATAATCAAATAAACAAATACCTAATCTAACCAACCAAACCCTAACTATCTAACTTAAAACGGCGAAATTCACCTATAATGGTAGCATCAAAATAAGCAGCATGAAATCGATACCAACGACGCAATAAGACACTAGAAAAAAATAGAAAATAAGTTAAAAATCAAATAACGAAACGAACCTAAAGACAACCCAAAGAATGGTGAAACCTAGCGATCATGACAGCACCAAAACAGACATGTGAAATCTACACCAATGACATAGTAAAACACCTGTAAAGAAAATTGGGTGTTAGTTATATAGCAACAAAGAAAAAGACGCTAAAGATACCTGAAACAAATCAGGCGACACAGACAATCCAACGAACGGCGAAACCACCTATAATGGCATCACTAAAACAAACAGCATGAAATCGACACCAACGATGTAATAAAACACCTGTAAAGAAAAATGTGTGTTAGTATTGTAGCGACATGAAAAAAGATATTCAAAATAAATCAAATAGCGAAATGTAATCTAAAGCAGCCCAACGAATAGCGAAACCCACCTATAACTACGGCATTAAAACAAATTGACACCAACAACATAGTAAAATATCTGTAAAGAAAAGTGGGTGTTAGTTATGCAGCAGAAGAAAAGACACCAAAGACACCTGAAACATATTAAGCGATGAAATGCAACACAAAAACAACCCAATGAATAGCGAAACCTACCAATAACAGCGTTACTAAAACAGATGGTGCAGAATCGACACCAATGACATAGTAAAACACCTGTAAAGAGAAGTAGGTGTTAGTTATGCAGCGACAAGAGAAGAGATACCTGAAATAAATCAAACGGCGAAATGAAACCCAAAGACAACCCAATGAACGGCAAAACCCACCTATAACTACGGCACCAAAACAGACGGCACAAAATCGACACCAACGACGTAGTAAACACCTGTAAAGAAAAGTTGGTGTTAGTTATGCAGCAGAAGAAAAGACACCAAAGATATCTGAAACATATCAAATGACGAAATGCAATACAAAAACAACCCAACAAACGGAGAAACCTACTCACTAAACAGATGGTGCAGAATCATCAACGACATAGTAAAACACCTGTAAAGAAAAGTAGGTATTAGTTATGTAGCAACAAAGAAAAGATGCTAAAGATATCTGAAACAAATCAGGCGATACAGACAACCTAATGAATAGCGAAACCCACCTATAACTACATGGCACCAAAACAGATGGCGCGAAATTGACACTAACGACGTAGTAAAACACCTGTAAAGAAAGTTGGTGTTAGTTATACAGCAACAAAGAAAAAGACATCAAAGACACCTGAAACAAATCAAATGACGAATTGCAACACAAAGACAACCCAATGAACGATGAAACTCACCTATAACAGCGGCACTAAAACAGATGGCACAGAATCGACACCAACGACGCAGTAAGAAAAGTGGAACTGCGAAACCTACCTATAATGGCGACATGATACGAAACCGTCACCAGTAACAACGACTCCAATAACGGCGACTTCAACTTCCACGAAATTAGGCAAAAAAAAATTCAACTGATTTGATTAGTTGATGATCACTATTTATACCCGTGATCAGGGTGCAGGTGCATCAAATTATAAAACCTGGCAAAATATGAACATAGTAACTTTTGGACTTGGACATATAGTTTTGGACATAGTCCAAATTTTTTAAAAAATATGGACATATACCAAGTGCCAATACTGATTGGTATATATATAAATTACCACTAAACATGTTGGATAAGTATTCAGATGAAAACTTCATAATATTGAATGTGTTGTTATTTATAATATTAAAATTATCTGTAGAAAAAGTATCAATGTCTTTTATATATAGGGTAGAAATTTGCGTAATTTTTTCTAACATGTAATTTTTGAATCTATTATGTCGAATTCACAAACTTAATCAAATTGACTGAAACATCATTTGGTCAATTTTTATCAGGTGTTCCAGGAATTATGAAAATAGATCAAATCTAAAACAATTGACCCAGGACGGGTTGAGCCAGAACCAGAAAAACTTTATTATAAGTCTTCATCATAAAAAATTTTATTTATATTCTTTAAGAATCAGGCTTTTTTATAATTATATGACTCAGTTTTGCAAGCACTTATAAATTTGATAGTAATGCATTATCACGGTTTACAACAGATCGCAGCCCACATTGCGATTTAAGTTGCATTTTTTAACCAAGAATTCAATATAAATATAAATTTTTTGCTTGTCATATCAATATTTACCAAAATTATCATTTGCAATCGTGCAGTCGAATAAGAATCAGGTAATTGTGATTGATCATAAAATGGGCTGCGATCTACAAACTTTTATTAAAGATACTGATCCAGCAGGAGGAAACATTAATGTTACACATTAATTAAAATCAGTGATGGATTATATCCATCACAATTAAGGTTAATATAAAGCAGGGGTGCCGAATAATTGATTGCAATTAAATTATGCTACAATTAAAGTTAGCTACAATTGTGATATAAAACAATTGTAAAGCAATTAAATTGCGAATAATTGCAATTAATTGCCATTTGGGTGTGATGAATCATTGTATATGACAAATAAGAATTACTAATTAATTGTATTGTGAATCCTTATTGATCACGTAAATGATTCATCACACCTAAAATTGCAATTAATTAACTCATTGTGGCTGTGCCACCAATCAATTAATTGAGTTCAAAAAATTGCTTCCACAATCAATTATTTGATAGGCTTGATATAAAGAATCTAAATCGTAATTGATCACGGATGTAAGGGATTCATTTTGGACTGGGTACGTTTCCTCCTGTTTACTGATCCATTATTTTGCAAACCGTAATGACTGTAACTTACAAGAATATGGTTCAGAAAAAGGTACTATTAAATAAAAATTTAGCATAGTAAAACGTTTATTTCTCAATAAAAATCCATAAATTACATCAAGGCTTTGAATAGTCAATTCTGAATGTCTATATTAAGAAATTCTAAATCGGATATTCGACTTTATTAGAACACACTCCTATTCTTAGTACTTATATATTTACGAATTTCATGATATATAGCCATGATTAAATTAATTTGTTTGATTTTTTTTTTTTTTTGCTATAAATGTTGTATTATCGTGTATAATCTATTCAATTATATATAGAAAAATTAAACCATTACTATTAAACAAAACACGATTTCAGTAATAAATATGTTATCTTTGAATTTGGAGAAGACATGACGTTCTAAGTACTTATACTATGAAAGTTCTTAGTATATAATTGATGAATTAAAAATTTTTTTTTGATTGTGATTAACCGAACCAAGACCTGCTAGATTTTAAAAATAATCGTTAATTCATGTTAAAGGGAATTACGAGAGCCCGGTCTAACAACATACAATAGTTATAATAATACTTACATATCAATCCTATGAATACCGTTAAGCATTAAAACCACAGAGATACGAAAGATAGTCTGAAATCAATATCATGTCTTCAGCAAGACTCGATACATACTAGATACAAATGGCACAATATAAATAAGGATTTTAATAGTTAGTGTTAGGTTCATTTTTCTGTTGCAACATTAATTTGTATAAAAGTTTAAACATGTAAAACTAAGCTAATATATTGATTAGTCATGCATATTATTTAATATTGTGGCTAATGCTGAGGTTTGGGGTTTTAATTTGAATCTGCTAAACCTACTAAAATCTTTTAATAATTCTAATCATAAATCCTAACCTAATTCTAAAAAAAAAAAAAAATAAAAATCTAAAAATTCAAGATTTCATATCAAAATAAAATCAATTCTCAATATTAAACTATCTCAGCTTCAGCTGCGATATTTAATAAATCTCAATTTCTAATACAAAACTTATTAATATTCAGAAGTAAAATAATTTGTAATCAGCATTTGCTTTCTGAACTTTTTAAATGCACACCTGTAATTATTACTTATTTGTCACAAAAACTCCAATTCTTCGAGCTCAAGGTTAGATTCTGAATTCATCTGTTCTTCGTAGCGTAAAACAGTTTGTATTGCATTATATACCTCTTTAGTTGTCACAGATAGGAGGGGAGGCTCCTCGTCATCATCACTTTCCTGTTGTTGATTGTTTTCTTCAGCTTGAACCATAGCGATTATTTCTTCATCCTCAAGCAATTCTTCTGTTGCAATGGATTCATCGACAGTTTGGACATACTTTTTCATAGCCTGAGCTATTTGAGAAGCTTCAGGATCATTACTAGATGACAAGTCAGTAATAATTTCTGCAATCTCATCATCGTCTAGATTATTTTCAGATTCTTGGTACTCAAATTCTATTTCTACCTTACTTGCATTCGAAAGGATTCCTGTTTTATGCCAGCAATTTTGAATAGTTATATCAGTTACGTTACACCATGACTCTGCAATAAAATTGACTGCTTGCCTTACATTTAGCTTATTTCTATAAGTATAAAAAAAAAGCTAAGAATTAAAAATAAAATAAAATAAAATAGAATATAATATTTTGCTAACTTTTTCAGATCGATATTAGACTCAAATTGATTAAGAACATGCTTGCAATAAAGCTTTTTGTATTTAGATTTAAACGATTGAATAATACCGGCATCCATAGGTTGAAGATGTGCGGTTGTATTAGGTAGAAGGTAATGAAGTTTAATGTTTATAAGCTTAAATGGTTTTCTGACAGTATTATTATTATTTTGTGATTTTTTACCAAACCTTCCGTACGATACTGTTTGTGGTCTCCCGCATGGTCTCCCGTGTGGTCTTTCACATGGTCTCCCGCATGGTCTTCTGCATGGTTCTTCATGTAGTTGAAAATCAAATTGACCATCATTATTCTCAGGATTAGAAATCCCATCATCATCTTCAGGATTAGAAATCCCATCATTATTATTCTCAGGATTAGAAATCTCATCACTTTCATTATTTTCAATGTTATCAATGTGAGGATTGGATGCTTCGGGCATACTATAGGAATTGGATGCTTCGGGTGTACTATAAGACTTAGCATTATCTACAATGAACAAGACTTTTTTGCCCTGAATATGAAAACCTTTATCATGAAATTTAAACCAGTCTTCCCAAATGTCTGATTTCATCCATGCACGCTCATTATTTTTATACATAACTGGGAGCTGTAATATCTTTATACTATTGAAAGACTGCGGTTTTTTTGATTTACCAATAACTAGTAGCCGAAGTTTGTGCGAGCCAGTTGCATTTGCAGCCAGCAGCACAGTAAGCCATAATTTATCTTGGTAATAACACAGTAGTACATTATTAATCGCTAATTTTATTCAGAAAAGTAAACAAAAATTAAATTTCTTACCTTTTTTTTCCAGCAACTGATTGCCTCGCTAATGTTTGATGTGGTAGCATCCAATAAAACAACCCAGTCTTGTCAGCATTATATATATTTTCAGGCTCATATTGAAAAAGAAGTTGTCTTAACTTAATTCTCTCATCTGACAAAGACTCTAAAGGCGCACTCGCTGCTTCCCCACTAAATCTGTATCGACGTAAAGAATTTCACTTTTTAAAATTTGCGACCCACCTGTTTAAAAACTTAAGATCATCCTCAGAAATGCCAAGACTATTGCCAAATTCATGGCCCTTTAATTTCACTAAATCATCCGTAAGAACCATACTAGCGGCGAAAACTTGATTCACCCAAACTGTCATTGCCATTTCAAGTGAAAGAAACTTCAGTAGTTTGTTTCTGTATCGATTCTGTACCATGGCACTTTCTTCAAGGTAAAGGTAATGTTCATTTTTTTTCAAAGTTTTAGAGATAGTTGACCTATCAAGTTTTAGTGTAGGGTATCTTCTCATAAACATGTCAGCAATGTCCTGGTGTCTAGCTATTGGGTGTGCCTTAGAATATTTACATATTTCTTTATGCTGAATGTTACTAAGTCAGCTACATGTTTTCTTTAATATGTGATCAGGAGGCATGGTAAGGAAGAACACGAAACACAAAAGTTAGCGAGAATAGTAAGCTATAGTGTGCAAGACTTTTTATATTGTTTCATGAATAACCTACCAGAAAAAAAAAAAAAAATTTATCGAATCTTATTCGAATTAGAGAGAAAATGTATATATGCATAAGCTTTTTTTTTTTTTAAGAAAAAAAAAAAACGCAAAAATAAACTTTAGTCAAGGAGTAAGAAATAGTTTAGGATAGTTTAGGATAGTTTGAATAGTTTAGGATAGTTTAGGATAGGTTAAAAGAATAGTTTAGGACTTTTAAAATGATTGATTATTTTTCTTTTAATATGCGTACAGTTCATTAGGCACACGGTTCAGGGTATCAAAGGTATCGTTACTATGATTTGGATTGTCTTTTGTTATCTAACTAAAGACTCTTTTTATAGTTTTTTTTGCTCTGATGTACAAATATGATAATTTCCAAAGGCATTGTGTAATTTCTGTGAACTTCTACATATTAGTATGTTAATTATGCTATTACAAAATGGATACTTGAATTGGAACCAGTTAAGTCATTTAAAATTTCAACATTTTAATTTATATACGTACGTATATATGTATATACATATATACCAGATACATAGTACGTATGTATATATGTATATATATATATACCAGATACATAGTACGTACGTATGTAATGTACTAGTCCGCATAAAATCTTTCTATAAAGGCACACTTTCACAAGTATGCTCACTGATTCTGCTACATGGATTCTTTTTTTTTTTATAGAAAAAAATCCTTATTATTCAATTCGGGTGTACAGTATTTATAGGTTCATCTTGTAGGATTGTAGGATTTATTTAATTTTTTTTTAAGGCATTCGATTAATTTAGCCAGAATATGAAATCTATTATATTGTCTAATTTTACTTGTAATTTTGTGACTATATTAAAGTATATCTCTTATATATTAAATATAAATGGTAATCTAAAATTAGGTGACTGTGATTATATCATGTTTGTAACTATATAGAGTGTAAAGTAATATAAAATTGATCAGTAAATATAAAACTGTGATTATATCAAGTTTGTGACTATATCGAGAGTGACTATATCAAGGTGTAACTGTAGTAATAATAAGTTGGATTAACTATTTGCTACCAAACTATATTACATAAATAGTGTTCTGAATAGTTATTAAATTTTAATTAATGTGATAAGGAGAGAGTTTATAAAAAAGAAAACTACTAAGATCTATTAACTAATATTATTTTTATATTAAGATTATTAATATCATCAAATTTTATATTATTAAAAGTATTCATCTCTTTATTAGAATTATAATTATTTAACAAATACTAGCTGTTATTTTCTGGTCTTTTAAAAAGATTTTTAATTAAAGTGTTATTGATAAGATTCATTTCAGATTAGGTTTTGGTCAGCTTCTTTACTAAAATTATTTTAGTTATCATAGTTTTCATCATTTTCATCAGATATAGATTAGTAATATTTAGCAATTTCTTTTAGAGAATATTGTTTAATAGTATGCCATAACTGAAAATCAATATGACATTTGAAGCACTCATTAGAGGAGAAGTAAAGTTTATCTCTACACCAATGTTAAGTTGCTAGTCCTTTTCAATCTCTTGATTAGACTTTTTTATTAACTTTTTAAGATAATTAGATACTAATATGTTTAATATAAAACTAAGAACAATGCATTCTATTATATTAAATTTTTTCTTAACTGAATTCGATATTTGGATAAGGTTGTAGGTAGGTGATATAATGTTTAGGTAAGGTTGGTGCAAGGATTTCTATTATGTTTTGATAATTAAATAGGTCTATTGAAGTTTGTATATCTGTAGAAGTTTCTTTAACATCTTTTATGATAATTATATAAAAAATTTTAATTTTTTTATTTTCAATTTTAGAAACTAGAATTTGTTTTAAAAAATATTTAATTATTATATTTAGGAAGGTTTTTTTTAGAGTTACCCATATAGAACAATTTTTTTCATATTAGTAACAGGTAGATTGAAAGCATAAATGAATATGTCAACACCAGTATTAGATGTTAGGCCTTTTTAACTAATTGAATATTTATTCTTTTTAGTATTTCTTTTATATTTTTGTAAGAGTTGTTGAATATAACTCTAATTAAATAATAATTTATTATCATATCTAAAACCATTAGGAAATATTTCAAGTCAGATATAAGGCTTGGTATCTTGTTTAGCAATAAGAGGTAGGTTAGGTCTTAACATAGTAGCTAATTGTTTAAGTTGTTGGTTTTAGTACAAAGAAGATTCTATTCTTGCTAATCTTCTTTGTATAACAATTTAGAAAGCTTTAGTTTTCAAAAGAAATTTATCTTCATCTTCTGTTAGAATCATATTGGTTTCTTGTTTATATATTCTTAATAAAGTATCAGCATTGTTATGCTTTTTTTTAGAATAATTAATTATAATAAAGTTATATAGTTCTAGTTTCATAACCTATTTGGCTTTTTTTCTTTTAAGCTTGGAAGTTTTTAATTATTGTAAACTAGAATAATTAATAATAAGAAAGAAATGTTTGGCTTCTAAATATTGATGAAAATGTTCAATAGCCTATATAACAGCTAAACATTCTAAGTTAGTAGTAGAATAATTTTGGTTAGCATTATTTAAATTTTTACTAGTATAGACAATAACATATTCCTTGTAATCATCATTTAGTTAGAATAAAACTGCTTCTAATCCAGAAGTTGAAGTACTGTATTAGTATGCAGATAGAAAGATCAATTAAAGTCAGAATGTTATAAGATAGAGTCTGAGATAAGGTAATTTTTGAGAATATCAAAGACTTGTTGATGTTTTTTTGTTTAAAGATAGAGTTTATCTTTCTTCAATAACTGGTTCAAAGGTTTAGCAATTTTGAAAAATCCTTTTATAAATCATTAGTAATAAAAAGCAATTTTTAAAAATTCTCTTAATTGTCTAAAATTAATAGGTTCTAAGAAATTTTTAATTTTGTTTACTAGTCTTTTATTTGTTTTAATTTTATTTTTTTCAATAATATATACTAAGAAATTGATGTTATTTAAGAAAAAACAATATTTTATCAAATATAATTTCAAGTTAGCTTCTTTTAGAATATTTATAACTTGTTGAATATGATTCAAATATTCTTGAAAAGTTTTAAAATAAATGATAATATTATCTAAATATATTACTACAAATTTGTTGATATAAAAATAAAGTATTTTATCTATTAATCTTTGAAAGGTTGCAGGTGCATTAGTGAGTCCAAAAGGCATAATATTGAACTTATATATTTCTTATTTTATAATGAAATCAGTTTTTTTTTTATCTTCTTCCTTTATAATGACTTGTCTATATTTATTAGCTAAATTTAAGCTAGTAAATCAAGATGCTCTATTGAATAAGTTTAAAATTTCTTGAATAGTTGGTAGTAAATATACATTTTTTTTAGTAATATTATTGAGTTTTCTATAATTAATGTAAAGTCTTTTCATTTATTCTTCTTTGACACAAATATAATAAGAGAATACCAGAGTTTAAAGGATTCTCTAATAATTCCTTTTTCTAGTATTGCTTGAATTTCTTTTTGCAGAAAGTTCTGTTCATCTGAAAGGTATTGGTAGACTCTTTGTTTAATAGATTTGTAGCTATTTGTATTAAATTTATAATAAATAATATTAGCTTGTTCTAATTCTTTAGACTATCTATCTTTTAAGATATTTTTTAAGAAAATATTAATATTTTCTATTGTTAACATTAAAAGTTTTATATTTTTGATTATAACTTTTGATGTATTAAACCAATTTGGATTAAACAACTACTATTGGATTCAGCTCATCAAGACAGTTTTAATAAGTATAAAATAATATAATTCTGATTATAAGATCACAAGAACAGACTAATTTTAATGAAATATTAAATTTAGTATATGTGATTTAAATATAAATGACTAAATTAGCTAAGTCCCTAAAAGCACAAAAAGCATGAAAAGCATAGATATTACAGATAGCA